CGTTTCATGAACCGGATCCTGCCGCCTTCTTCTTTTCAGGGAGGCACTGTTTGGGTTGAATCTGACCAAGGGAGCATTGAGCGGTTCTATCGCGGCCGCAGGAGGCAGGGCGTCCTGTTGGATGTAGCATCAGGTCCTGTGTCGCTTGATTCGGCCTCGCTTCATGCAACGGAGCCTTGGGTTGGCTCGCGGGTGGTGCTTGTGGCATACTGCCCACGTGACATGCACAAACTAGGGGATGGGTCCCTAAAGGTCCTTCGGTCTCTAGGGTTTAGACCTCCTGACCCCCCGTGTGGATCAGCTCATGTTCCCTTGCACAATCCCTGCCATCCGCGAAATCTCCCTTCTCAACCAGTGTCTGCGAGGAAAAAGGTGGCCACGCAACCCTTCTCTGGTCCTTCGGGCCCTCACATGCACATCGACAACTGTAGACCTCGAGCGAGGCCGGCGTCCAGACCTTATGCGCTGGATGTATTTTGTGGCAGTGGGGGCCTCTCCATCGCCTTGAGACGGTGGGCCATTGACACCTTGGGCGTGGACCACTTCATGACCCGCACTGGTGCGCGTTTTCCCATGGTCAAGCTTGACCTTCGCAAGCCGGAACACCAGCGTATCGTGTGGCGTGAGCTTCGCCAGACGGATGTGATATGGTTAGCGCCGCCGTGTGGCACTGCCAGCAAAGCCAGAACCATACCCATCAACAAAGCATCGCGCGCTGCCGGAGCCCCAACCCCTAGGCCTCTTAGGGGTTCTAGGTTCCCGGAGGGTTTCCCATGGTTGCGCGGGGTGGCCAAGGATAGGGTGGCTAGCGCAAATGCGTTATACGCCTTTGCGAGTGAGGTCTGGTTGTATGCACAAGAAGCTGGCAAAATCTCCGTGGTGGAAAATCCAGCCTCATCATGGATGTGGCAGACGAAGTGGTTTCGTCCGCTCCTGAAGTCAGGTCTCTGGCATGAACCCCACGCATGTGAGTATGGCTCCCGCAGGCAGAAAAAGACGGGCCTTCTGTCTACCATACCTTTGCCCGGAATGCACAAGGTCTGCTCAGGTCGCCATGTCCATTTGCGATGGGGTCCCATCAAATCCAAGCAAGGCTGGTCTTTCGCCACGTCGCAGGAGACTGCGTACCCTCCTGAGTTCTGTAAGGCGGTCGCCCAGGACATCGCTATCGCCTTGCAGAAAAAGGGGTTCTCTCTAACTCAGGAGCCTGAGGCCACTCAGGCCTCGCACGCCGCCATTGCAGCGCAGAAACAGCCTCGCAAAGGTCGTGGACCCGTCGGTCCCTCGGAGTATGCCACAAAAGTGGCCGTCACCATCCCGGCGGCCGTGGATCCGCCGCAGGAGATACCAACCAAGGCGCCGCAGGGCCTCCAGGGTATCCCCATAGGATCCAAGTTGCTGTGGAGTCGCGAGGTCTTAAAAGGGGGTCTTGGGTTCGCGAGGTTGAGTATGGGGTCTTCCACACGCCAGAAGCCTTTCTTGAAAAATCTTTGAAAATGGCCCATCCCTTTGATTCACCCGTGTCAATGGATGCACCTAATATGAGAGCTATTGCAACCATACTGTCCGAAGGAGTCGAAGGGATAAAGGCCAAGAGGACGGCAGCGCTTGACTATTACTGTGCAAGAAAGGTCGCCCTTCAAAAGGACGAGCTGGCGCTCAAGGCCAAAATGCACCCTGACGTTAGGGGGGTGATGCAGCCAAAAAACCTTCTTCTTTTCAAAGAGATGCTGAGAGATGCTTGTGTGGGCGATGACAATCTGTTTCATGATTTTACATCGGGTTTCCGCATCACAGGCGAGCTGGAGCCATCGGGGAAATTTCCTCCCAAATGCAAGGTGGCGGCCTTGTCAGTGGCTGATCTTCGGAAGACGGCGAAATGGGCGAAACACTTGGTTGCGTCATCATGCCGCAGAGCGGCCAAGGATAAAGCCGTGGCTAAGGCTGTGTGGAAGGAATCCCTCGACCAAGTCCAGAGGGGGTGGCTTCGCGGACCATTCAGTTCTTCGGAGATTGATGCACGGCTTGGCCCCGAATGGGTAGCATCAAAGAGGTTCGGCATAATCCAAGGCGAGAAAATCCGAGCAGTGGATGACCTGTCCGAGTACATGATCAACTCTACTGTCTCCGAGTCGGAGAAGATCGTTCTCGATGGAGTCGATGAAATTTTGGCAGTGGCACGCTTTTTCGGAGGAGCGACCGCCGGAGGAGTGCCAGAATTCAAGATCCCAGCACCGGATGGAAGCGTGTTTAGAGGACGGCTACACGATGACTTCCGAAAGGGTAGGTCCAGGCTCCTACGTGGAAGGGCTTTGGATCTTAAAAGTGCTTACAAGCAACTTGCTTGCCACCCGGAGGACAGGTGGGCGTCGGTGCTCGCGGTACTGGATGTTGATCGTGATTGCGTCATGTTTTTCGAATCTTTGGCGCTGCCGTTCGGCGCGACAAGCTCAGTCACAGGCTTCAATAGGACGGCCAGAGCGCTCCGCATCATCATGATAAGACTCTTTT